GGACGGCCCTCAGTTCCAGTTTACTCTAATGTCCTACAACATCCTGGCCCAGGACCTGATGCAGCAGAGCTCGGAGCTCTATCTGCACTGCCACCCAGACATCCTCAACTGGAACTATCGGTTTGCGAACCTCATGCAGGAATTCCAGCACTGGGACCCTGATGTGAGTGAAGGGGGACATGCCCAACTGCCTGTTTCCCCTGGCTCTTCAAATGAGCAGGTCCTCGGAGTCGTGCTGGTGACTGGACTCCTGTCTTAAGTTAGGAGCTGGCCTGCCTGGTATCACACAGTTCCGTCTAATGCTGAGAAGTATCTCTCTGGCTCATCTTCGGGGGCCTGTGGGAGGAAGCAGGGGAATCTGGCACACATGTCATGGGTCTGCACTCTGCTGCAGGGGCTTTGTGGGAAGAGGCAGGACAGTGGGACTGGGCCCTACAGCAGCTTCAAACCTTGGGCCTGGAGGGTGGGAGTCCTACTCCAGCATCCTGCGTGCTCAGGGGTGATGACTTTCCTTGTCATTGTTCCAGATCCTGTGTCTCCAGGAAGTTCAGGAAGATCATTACTGGGAGCAGCTGGAGCCCTCACTGCGCATGCTGGGTAATGTAGCTCTTGGGTCTGTCTGCCAGCCTTCCACCCTATGACCCTATCTGCCCTTCTCCAGAATTCAGCGTCTTTTTTTCTGGGCTCAGTAAACTCAGTCTCCCTTGGATGTTTGCTGCTGCTTGTGGGTGAGAGAGAAAATTGAGTTTTTAAAGCAACTCTGAAGTCTATTGCCATTTTATCCCTGAAATCACCAACGCTGTGAAGCTGATTGGAGTTCACTCCATTTTACAAATAAGGTCACAAGGGCAGAGCCACACAGTCTGACTCCAAGGTCCAGACCCTTGCTATCAAGCTGCATTGTTTTAGGCCCTTCCCCCTCCTTTCCCTAGCAGCCTCTTGGCCACCTGGTCCCAGCCGTAAGGGGTCCTCTGCAGAACCAAAGGAATGATAGTGCCAGCCCTTCCCTTACTGAGCAGTGGGAGCAGTGCCTCCAGCCCCCAGGCTGCTCCAGGGTGGAAGGGAATGCACCTTCACGGACCTCACTCCTTGGCTGGGGTTTTCCTTGCAGGCTTCACCTGTTTCTACAAGAGGAGGACTGGATGTAAAACGGATGGCTGTGCTGTGTGCTACAAGCCCACCAGATTCCGTCTGCTCTGTGCCAGCCCTGTGGAGTACTTCCGGCCTGGCCTGGAGCTCCTCAATCGGGACAACGTGGGCTTGGTGTTGCTGCTGCAGCCCCTCGTCCCAGAAGGTCTGGGGCAAGTCACAGTGGCCCCTCTGTGTGTGGCAAATACCCATGTCTTGTACAACCCACGCCGGGGTGATGTCAAGCTGGCCCAGATGGCCATTCTCCTGGCTGAAGTGGACAAGGTGGCCAGGTTGTCTGATGGCAGCCACTGTCCCATCATCTTGTGTGGAGACCTGAATTCTGTCCCCAATTCACCTCTCTACAACTTCGTCAGGGACGGAGAGCTCCAGTACCACGGGATGCCTGCCTGGAAGGTGACGTGGGGAGGACCCTGGGGGTGGGGACTCGGCTGAGGTGAGGTGAGGTGCTAGCCTCTGTGCTGCTCTGGTGGTGGGGACCTCAGGACACTTGGTTTGACTCCTTCCCACTGCTGCTTATTTTGCTGAGTGGCTTGTGTCCAAGCCTGGTGCCTTTGACACACTGACCCCTTTTCCGTTTTTTACCCTGAGTCTGTTTGTAGTCAAGTAATACATAAGTGCCTTCTTACAAGAATCCAAGCATTATTTTTAAACAGCCAAAGCCCCCTTTATCACCTGTGTTTTTCCTACGCTCTTCCCTTGGACTCAAAGGCTTAGAGTCCAGTGAGGCTTTGAAGCTGGGTGGTAGACTTGCAGGTTATTTTCTGTACAGGCCTGACTAGGTTCCTGTGATATTACAGCCATAATCTAGTACTTCATGTATACACAGGTACTCCTTTAAGTACTTTACACCTGTTTATAAGAGCATTTTCACTGTTTCCATCATTGCTTCCCTCTTAGCGATGACGAATCAAAGGCACAGAGAAGTTGGGTAGGTCATTCTGATTGTGGACCCAGGCGCCCAGCCTTGCCCCTTGCTCTCTGTCTAGTTATGTGGTGCTGCTATAACAGAAATCCCATAAATGGTTGGCATTAATGGACAGAAATGAGTTTTCTCACAGTTTAGGTGGCTAGAAGTCCAAATTCAGGGCAGTGGCTTGGGGAGGGCTTCCTCTCTGTTGACTCTGGGGAATGGTCCTTGTGTCTGTTCAGCATCTGTTCCTCCACTCCTTGGTGATCTGCATGTGGTCTTGCATCTATGGTGTTGCATCTCTCTTCCCCCACCTCTGCTTGCTGGCCCGGTCCTCTCTGAAAACACGTCCTACACTGATAGGTCCTCATCAACATGACACAGAACCCGGATTAACAGCACATATCTAGGGGGCATAACTCAATTTATAACATCCTCACCCACTACACTATTGTCACTTCTGTCAGTCAATCCATAAACAGTTCTCTTTGTTTTGTAAAGACAACCAAGGGGGTAGTGGAAGAGAGGGTTCAAAAGTTTATGCAGAAATGGAATTGGAAGATGATGAAATTTTTTCCATGAATTCTTTGAAACCCCTTGTGCTACTTGCTGTAGGCTTCATTTTTGTAGCCTTTTTATAACTCGACAATGTGTTTATGAATCTGCCTTTTCCTTTCTAACTGCTCAGTGTTGACAGTGTAGATATTTCCAGAGCTTTATTGTTGTGTGTTTATGCCTGCTGACGGGCATTCAGCTTGTGCGGATTTTTTTTTTTAATATGCCACTTACGTCTTCTTGTTCTTCTGGTTTTGGTCCCTACTGATCAACAGATTGCTTAATTTTGGGCAAGGCACAAGTAGAGAAAAGACCCAAAGTGACTGAATATTGTGGAGCCCTTTGGGCTTTTATTTTAACGAGGTTACATAAGCGCCGGTGAGGCTCTAGTTGCCACGTGCTCAGAAGAAGGCATTGCCTTCCTCTACACGAGCTTTAATCAAGAAGCTCAAAGAATGGGGTAAAGAAAGTACAAAATACTTATCATGTGACAGGCACTGTTAAGGCATAGTGATTAAGAGAATTCGCTTTGAAGACAAGAGGCCTGAGTTCAAATCTCTGCTCTACCTCCATGGGTAAGCTACATAACTTCTTTTAAATTTCATTTGCCTCATCTATAAATTGGGCACATACTGGGACCTTGATTTCTAACCCCTCCCCACCACGAGTTAAATAAAACAATTGCACGTGAGACATTTTCTAATTCCTGATTCAAAGTAAGCAGCCAGTGACTGGTAGTGGTTTTTGTCAAGACTGATCATTGTAAGTTGTAGACACTGTCTTTTTAGCAGATGCTTGCTCAGAATCCCAGTGCTAGTAAATGGCCGTCAAATCCCAGGTCTCTCTTACTTCAGATGACGACGTACTGGAACGATAGGCTCTCAAGGGCAGGGTCGTGCCTGTCACTGCTCTTCCCCAGCACGGAGCTAGTGTCAGCGCAGGTGGTGTCGGATGTTTGTCGTTCAATGACATAGAGGGACTTGGGCTTCCCGTGTTGGAGACGTCACATGACTGATGTGGCCCCACGTCTCCCCCCAGCGCGCTGCCCAGCAGGCTGCTCTGGACCTCTGACTGAGGATGGTGACAGAGATACGCTAAAGTACTCTGGGGTATTTCCCACTTGCTTTGACCCTGTGATGCCCCAGTGAAGGCATAAGACACTAGATCTTGACCCAGATGATCTAAAACTCACGACAAATCCTTCCCTGTTGCCAGTTCAGGGCCTGGAAAGTTGCTGTTCCCTGTAGAAACTTGTGTCAGTTTTTTTTTTAAGGTGAAATGTAGGGAGCACGTACCTCAATCTGATTCTCCTTGACTTGCACATTCCATTCTAGTAGCCCTCATTCCTGTCACGTGGACATTTCAGAGTTTGAATTAGCTTCCCATTTTGTAGCCTTCACCTGCGACTTAAACGCGGCTGCTTACATCATACATGCAGCATGTGATTGTCTGAGAGGTTTATTTGTCACCATGTGTCAAAGTATGGGCTGTTCTTTCCTTTTCCCCCTTGGTTTTCTCATTTCCACCTCCTTCTTTCCTTGTAGGTCTCTGGGCAGGAAGACTTCTCCCATCAGCTCTACCAGAGGAATCTCCAGGCCCCACTGTGGCCCATCTCCCTGGGCATCACTGACACCTGTCAGTATGTCTCCTGCCAGCCCAAGAGATCAGGTGAGCACGTGCCACCTTCTTGTTGGACTGCACCAGGCCCATTTTGGGAGAAAGTGACTCTTTAATGGCAAGAGAATCTCTAAATTCACTGCCATCAAGTTGAATCTCACTCATAGCGACCCCATAGGACAGGGTAGAACTGCCCCTGTGGGTTTCTAAGACTGTAACTCTTTTTTAAAAAATAGCTTTATTGGCACTCCATCCATATATCACACAATTTAATAGTTCAACCATATCAAGAAGAGTTATACAATCTATTAGAACATTTTATTTTTCCCTGACTCATTGTTATTCATGTAATTTTTTTCCATTTTGGCAAAAATATACACAACAAAACATTCACCAATTCAACAACTTCTGCATGCATAATTCTTTGATTACGTTCTTCTTGCTATTCAACCATTATTGTTATCCCTCTCCAAATGGCTCCACCACCATTAAAATAAGCTCAATCCCCCCTAGAGATTATAACTCTTCACAGGAGCAGAAAGCCTCCTCTTTCTCCCATGGAGTGACTGCTGGTTTCAAACTGCTGACCTTGCAGTTAACAGCCCAGCAAGTAGCCACTACACCACCAGGTGTAATTCCCTGGCCTCTTAGAACATTCCCGTGTTTTTCTCACTGTGAAATGCAGCTTTAAATCAGAGCCTCCCTCTGTGTGTCTGTGACCACAGCCTCTCGAAACTACAGAGCCTCAGCATATGGTGCTCCTTCCTTTCCTGCAGAGAGACGCAAATACAGCCGAGACTTCCTGTTACATTTTCGCTTCTGCAGCGTGGCTTGTCAGCGACCAGCAGGCCTAGTTCTCATGGAAGGAGTGACGGACACTAAACCAGGTAATGAAAACTGAGCCGTCATCTTGCTTCTCGCCTCCTCAAGCCGACATATGCCAGCCATGTTGTCCCTTGGTCTTCTCTGGTTATAGTCCTTAGAACTCGGCTTTGGGTAGGCATTGGGTAGTACAAGGAGGAAAGTGGACTGAGTTCATTAATCATACACGTCTGTGGATGTGCAGAATAATAAGAAATGTAAGAAATCCTGGTGGCACACTGGGTTGCTAACCTTAGGGTTGGTGGTTTGATTCCACCAGTCCCTCTGGGGGATAAAGATGAGGCAGTATGCTTCTGTAAGGAATTACAGCCTTGGAAATGCTAGGGAGCAGTTCTGCTTGTCCTGTGTGGTCACCATGAGTTGGCATTGACTTAATGACAGTGCATATATAGGGGAGAAGATATACGCGATGGGACTTTAAAATCCTAACAGTGGTCCTGGTTGTGCTAAAAAGTTGCTCCAATTGAGAACTTTCACATTGAATGTGACGAGTCTACTTAACCCCATCTTGTCTCTGAAACTACTCCCGAGCAATAAGGTAATGGGAAAAGAAATGCAGAATCCAACTTTGACAAAGCTAGGAGGGGTCTGAAAGATCTGAAACTGAGCCACATGACTGCAAGTAGCACAGGAGGTCATACAGGGGTGCTGGTGGGGAACTCAGAAAGAACCAACAGAGGCCGTTTCTTCAAGGTGAGGAGTACACCTTGAGACCTCAAACCCATATCTTGTTTCAGCTACGAGAATTAGATGCACCACAAAGGGTGGTAGGAGCTTTTCGGAACCCATTGTGGTCCAAGAGACAGTCGAGGAAGAACTCCCTAGGGAATCAAGCCATAGTTGGATTAAGCAGTCTGGTCAAGTGGCAGGAGGTGATGAGACACTTGACCTAGAGCTGCATCTCTCTCTCGGCTGGGAGAGAAGTAAAGTCTAAAAGGACCTATGTTTGGTACTGTGTCATAAAATTCATGTTAATTAGAATGCTTACACAGTCCTTCTTTTATATAACTTTGCACAAATACTGATGTATGAAAACCTCAGCTACATAAAAACTGGGTTTGCAAAAAGACCCAGCATGAGATCACTGCGAAAATACTACAAGGGAAAACAGTGTTTCTTCAAGAAATGATGGTGGAGCAGGAAAAATAAAAGATAGGTAATAACTAAATGCCTTTAATGAAGTAAGTTCACACATGTGGTGAGATAACAGAAAATGAAATATAAGCTGCAGAGCTCAAGAAAGAAGTGGATTAAAAAATTAAAGTCTTCACAGAAAATGACAGCAAAATTGGATTCAGTCTCAGAGAGAAAATGAGGTAAGAGACAAGTCCGGAAATGGGGGGTAGTTTGCAGTAGTGAAAGATAAAGGAGATTCAACATACATGTAATTGGAGTTCAAAAACAATATAATGGCGCACACGCACACACAAATTCAAGAAAATTTCTTCCAAAACAAAAAATCTGAATCTTCAGATTGAGAGAGCATATCATCTCTCAGAAAAAGTGGTATAGGGGAAATAATGACATTTTCTTTGGAAGGCTGAACCAAAAAGATCAAGTTACTTTCAAAGTAAAAAGAATCCTATTAGTTTATTTTCGTTAAGTCTTTCTTTACAGAATATTATCCAATTTAGTGCTGGAAGATGAGCTTTCTGGGTTGGAAGGCTCTACAGCAGTGGTTCCCAACCTTCCTAATGCTGTGACCCCTTCATACAGTTCTTCAGGTTGTGGTGACCCCGCAACCATAAAATTTATTTTCATTGCTACTTCATCACTGTCATTTTGCACTGTTATGAATCGGGAGACCCCCGCGAAAGGGTCATTGGATCCCCAAAGGGGTTGTGACCCCCAGGTTGAGAACCACTGCTCTACAGAATAGCCACAGCTGGGAACTGGAGCCGACCCAGGGTCATGAGTATGTCACAGGATTCCCAACGCGTTGTTCCGCTCTTTGAGGCCACCAGGATTCAGGCTCAAATTGCTGCTGTTAGGTGCTGTCGAGTCAGAAGGAAACAACGCCCAGTCTTGCGCCAACCTCACGAATTGTTGTGTTTGAGCTCATTGCTGCATCTCATGGAGGGCCTGCCATATTTTCACTGGCCCTCTGCCTTTCCAAGCACAATGTCCTTTTCCAGGAACTGGTCTCTCCTAGGAGCCATGGTGGTGTAATGGTTAAACGTTGGACTGCAATCCGCACTGTGGGCACTTTCAAACCACCGGCAGCTTAGAAAGACTGGGCTTTCTACTCCCATAAACAATGACAGGCTTAGAAACCCACAGGGGGTCCCTGTGAGTCAGCATTGAGTTGATGGCAGCGAGTTTGGGAGTTTGAAGTTTGAGTCTCTCATCCAAAATATGAGTTTGGGTCTTTCATCCAAAATATGTTTGAGTTCGAGTCTCATACAAAATATGCTTGAGTCTAACATCTAAAATATGTAAGATGAACTCCGACATCCTCACTTTCATAGAACACTCTGGCTATACTTCTCCCAAGATGGATCTGTTTGTCCTTTTGACAGTCCATGGTATTTTCCGTTTTCTTTGCCAGCATCCTAATTCAAAAGCCTGGATGCTTCTGTCTTCTTTCTTCAGGGTCCACCTTTCCCATGCATATGAAGTGATTGAAAACACCATGGCTTGAGTCAGGTAACTTTAGTCCTCCAAGTTACATCCTTAAAGTGAAGATGTCAATCTTTATGCATTCCATTTCATTTTTTTTAAAATCCAGAGTGAAAACGGAAATATGTATTCAGTCCTCAGAATTTGGGGTTTGTACAGTGCCAACAAAGGGAAACATAGAAACCTAGATGGGATGATTTTTGGTGGGGATTCATTATGTATTTGCAGCTTGGTTGCATTAATTCTTCTTTAAGAATATAAGTGGGGAAAGTATTCCATTTTAAAACCTTAAAAGACTTCATTAACATATCCTAATTAGTCATCTGGAATCATCTTATATTTAGGAATCCTGGTGGGGTAACTACTGTTACATGTTGGGCTGCTCGCTAGTTGTAGTGACGTGACTTTCTACTCTGGGAAAGAGTTAGTTTCAGAAACTCACGGAGCAGTTCCATTCTGTCCTTTAGAATCGCTATGAGTCAGAATTGACTCGGTGGCAGTGAACTTTGGGGGGCTCTCCTCATTGGTTAACGTTCCTCTCCACTTCTTTTGCTGTTACATGCACCTGCCATCTTCCTTTTTGGAACAAAAAGCAGCTAGACAGAAGCCAGTCAAATAGCATCCTGAGACTAATGTTAGGGAGTCCGACGGTGCCGTGGTTAAGTGCTTGTCTGCCAACTTAAAGGTTGAAAAGTTGGAACTCACGGCCTCACCACAGTAGGACGATGAAGCAGTTGCTTCGGTGTAGATTTACAGACATGGAAACACTAGTATGGCTTCTACTGTGCCCTCTGGGATTTCTAGGAGGCGGGATTGACTTGATGGCAATGGATTTGACTTTTGGTAAGACTAATATTGTTTTGGAATTCTAAAAACTGACCTTTTGAGCTCAGAAAGATTAAAAGTAGACCACCTCCACTCAAGAGGAGTGGGGATGGAAGCAATTTTGATTCCAGGGCATTCTCAAGTGCTCGCAGCTACAGCTCTACCAGGGCTTTGTCTATAGTCATGTCTGCCCCTGTTTAATGTCTTACTCTTAACCTTCAGGGAGGCTTCCCGTTTCTCCTCCCCCTTAGAATCCATAGAGGACCAAATGCAGCACATTGCTGCAAAAAAGAAAAGCTAGATTAAACCTCTTCTCTATCATTTTCAGCAAATACAAAGTTTCATCCTGAATTCTATAATTGGATGTTTAATATATAGAGGAAGTTCCAAACTTTCAAATGGGCTCTGTGCTCAACATTCCTTTTATGTTAGATTTGAGACTCAGGATCCATGTTACTTAAGAAATGATGGCACAATTCCCCATCATTCCATATAAATAAAAGGTTAGATTTCCAGGTTAGCCCACAGTGACAGTTCACTCAGACTAATAAGTAAGCCACCTTATTTTCCCTTAATATTATGGCATGCTTCTTTTTGTATTTTATCATTTGTAAAGTCATGCTTAGTCTTAAAACTAATGTTAGTGTGTTATTTAACAGGCCCAAAGCTATTAGACCATGTTAACTATTGTGTTAGGCTGGGTTGACTAGAGAAACAAATCCAGAGACACTCATATATGTGTAAGAAAGAGCTTTATATCAAGAAGTAAGTATATATCAAGCATACATTCCAGCCCAGTTCCAGATCAAATCCATAAGTCCCTCTTGAGACTCACGCTGTCACATGCAATGATGCAAAATGCAGGGAGATCACAGGCCGGTGGCTGCAGAGTCTTTGGGTCCAATGATGGTGGTTGCATCACAGGGCCCGCAGGTCTCAGTGTGACTCCAGCAGCTCTCAGAGCGACTCAACAGCAGGAAGGCGAAGGCAGAGAGAGAAGGGGAGGCTCCCAGGACCCTCCTTCTGAGTAGGCCACATGTACAAGGAGGTCCCATCAGGCCGTGATCTGATTGACAGGCTAGATTCCACCATTACCTATCAAGTTGATAGGAAATTACATAGCTACCACAACTATTGTCTCCAATAGTGTCTAAAATCAAAGAAATGTGGCACTCTTACTCTACCTAATTATTTAAGATTTTGAGGGGAAGAAACTACACTCTTTTAAATCTGCCAGCAACATATTTCCTGTTTATTATGAACTGGCGATCTCAATTAGTTTTTCCCTACATCCAAGATACGTTCTACTTTTTCTGAGTCTTCTTCCACATCACAAATATACAAGAGATTCCATTTGTGAAAAAAATGAAAGAAAACTTTATTTTAGGACTTCTTTCCCTCTCATCGTTGATCTCCTTGGTTGCTATAGGCCAAGCTTCTTTTACGTATACCTGCATATTTTCTAATTCCACTTCATTGTGATGGCTTCCAGTTTTCCTAGTGTCATACTTAGTGCGTTCCAAGTTCCAGTTATTAATTGATGTTTGTGGCTGTTTCTTCT